AGGGCATCATCATTCCAGCCTCTATTCCTTGGCTCCAAGAGTGATTTATTTTTGTGAAAAGCTACAACATAAATACTTTCGCAAACAGAAAGGTGGAAGAAGACTAGTTTTGGCATATAAGATTGAGGCGTGGACAAGATTGTTCACGGATACAAGTAGAAAGTTGGCTTTAAAGGTATGCTAAGGTTATCCTTTCTTTCTTTTTTGCATGATCCATATGACACAATAAACTGCAAGCACGCAAGTTTTAGAAATGATTCTATTCTTAGAAGTACTAAGGTTGCATACTTTCCTAATTCCCCATATGTCCTACTACCATATTATCTATACATGGGTCTCATAATATTCCAAGAGATCTTATTGACTTACTTCGTTATACATCGCATTCATTTATACATGTGCATTTACCTATGACCTAGACGATGTTATATACGTGTATATATGTATATATATGTATATGGATATGGGAAAAGATTACGGCATTATATACGCATCACCACCTGATCAGCTGGTATACGTTGATGATTTTGCCCATAGTGGCTATGATGATATGATGGGATGCCCTTAGAGGCGTGATGATGTTATGGCGTTATATATGAGTATATATATGTATATATATGTATATGCAATATGGGAAAGGTTATGGTGTTATATACGCACCACCACCTGATCAGCTGGTATACGATGATGATTTTGCCCACAATGGCTGACATGATATGATGGGTGCCCTCTAAGGCTTTATGATGTTACATACGTACAGACCTATGCATTATATGACATTCATACGCATATACATGACACTATAAGTATTTCATGATTTACAGAGTCATCCAGACTTACAGGTTAAGTCACTTACCCTATATTTCTTCCATGTCTTTAATTAATATTGACTTATTATTGTATTTCAGTTCTTCCTTACATACTCAGTACATTACTCGCACTGACGTCCTTTTGTTGGGGACGCTGCATTCTTGCCTGCAGGTATAGACAATCAGTTTGACGATCCCTCACAGTAGATGAGGTTTGTATTCAGCGAAGGATCGGTAAGACTCCACCTCATTCGGAGTGTAGCTGAATCTATGAGTCATCGTGTCATTGTTTTTTTTTACAGACTTTTGGGTAGGTCAGTACCCGGTCCCATTTGATCTTGAATAATCCTAGAGGCTTTGTAGACAGAGGTTCAGTTTGTATAGTATGTCAGAGGCCTTAACGGTCCATATGTATTCATATTTTAAGAAAAATGATTCAATAACACAATGTTTTTGTCACTTATAGTTATACATTATGAGTTGTGACCATGTTGGCCCATGATAGTTACAAAGAAAATAAAAGAGTTGCAGAGTGGTTCGCTCGGGCCAGTGCGACATTGAGTGCCAGCCACGCATCCCCAGGTTTGGGGCGTGAGAAAGTGGTATCAGAGCGGGTCATATCCTATGGTGTCTACAAAGCCGTGCCTAGTAAAGTCTCACTTATGGGTCTGTCGCCTGCCACATTTATAATTGAGAGGCTATAGGGCTTTAGGAAATGTTACCTTTCTTTTATCTCCAGATCGTGACATAGAGTTGAGTCGTAACAAATCAATATGAAGCTTTCGCCAAATTTGGTATGCACCAGAGGTGCAGGTATCACAGTAGAGCTTTAAGGCGTAATTTCCACCTATGCTGAGGGGAAATTATGAAAGATATAGAAGATACGAAGCAAGATTGAAAAGTAAGTAAAGTAAAGGTGAAGAAGATACGAGATACTCAAGTACAAAAGATTGTGAATAGTCGAGACTTCAGATATAGTTTGGGTTTTAGTTTAAGTTACAGAGGAGACCCTACTGAAAATTTTGTAAAGCTCTAAGAGTTAACATTTGAGGACTAATGTTCTAAAGGGGGAAAAGATGTTACATCTCGTATTTTAATATTAGGATAAGTCGTAGTAATCCATATGAGCTTGAAAGGATTAAGACCATTCATGAGATTATAGAGAAATTGTGGTTATGTTATTGTAAGACCCCGTAAGTTTAACAACCTCGATATATATATATATATATATATATATATATATAGTATTTTGAATGGAACATTTTTGTAAAAAAAAATGATTTGAAAAAAAAAATTAGATAGTTATTATTATTACTACTTTTGAATATGTTTTAAATTATACACATAATATGAGAAAGTTTATGAGATTTTCTTTATTGTAACGATATGAATTATTTTCTCACAAGAAAAGAAGGTTATCTTTTTACCATTTAAGAATTAGGCGTACGAAAATTTTTACTCTTTATAGAGATTAGGAAAATTAAAAGTTGAGAAAATATATGTATTTTTGCATAGATGTTTTAATGAAATATTAGTGTATGTATTTATTTTATATGGTCCGAGCTATAATACTCGGTATTTATGGACTAGTGCTATACAAGGTACCACATGGCCATGATAGTAAGGTGTATAAAGTGTATTAAAAGTGAGTAGCATTTTATGTAACTTGAGATAATTGTTAATTATGCGGGTAATTTGTTAATTATCGGGTAACGGAACATTACCTAATTACCTAATAAGTGGATAAAGATTAAACTTACCCAACCCATCCCCACGTGGCAGCCCCTCACCTTGTAATTGATGACTCATTGGTCAATAAAATAGGTGTCTTTCAAAGAAACATTTAAAAAGGTAACTACACAATGTAGCTAAGGCTATTACGAGAATGCCTGGATTGCTTAGCTATCCTCTCCAGAGAGTAATGTCACCTAATATATCATTCCTCCAAAATCTTGGATGTTCGAGTTTGGATATTCGAAAGCTTATTCTTAGGAATCCGAGATATTTTGTTCAAAAAAAATGAATGGCTTGAGGATATTGTGCAAAGAGTGGAAAAGGATTTTTTGCATTTGTAGGGATTCTCGGATGTTTTTCTATGGAGTGGAAATGCTTTCGTCGCTTAATAAGTCGAATTTGGAAATGAAACTTGGAATTTTCAGAGTTTGCTTCTCCAATTATTTACTTAAGTAGCTATCTTGTGCATATGTTTGGTATTTTCATCTCCTTTCTTAAAAAGCTCTTCTTCAAGATCTCAGCTTCAATCAGTGTCATTATGATTGCACTATCATTATCATATTGATTGCCAACCAAGCAATTCCCTGTTAGATCTCTAGTTAGGGCATCATCATTCCATCCTCTATTCCTTGGCTCCAAGAGTGATTTTTTTTTTGCGAAAAGCTACAACATAAATACCTTCGCAAACAGAAAGGTGGAAGAAGACTAGTTTTGGCATATAAGATTGAGGCGTGGGTTCTCAGATACAAGTAAAAATTTGGCTTTAAATGTATGTTAAGGTTATCCCTTCTTTCTTTTTAGCATGATCCATATGACACAATGAACGAGCAAGAACACAAGTTTCGGAAATGATTCTATTCTTGGAAGTACTAAGATTGCATATGTTCCTGATTCCCCATATGTCCTACTACCATATTGTCTATACATGGGTCTCATAATATTCCAAGAGATCATATTGACTTACTTCATTATACATTGCATTCATTAATACATGTGCATTTACTCATGACTCAAACGGTATTATATACGCGTATATATGTATATATATGTATATGGATATAGGAAAAGGTTACGGCGTTATATACGCATCACCACCTGATCAGCTGGTATATGTTGATGATTTTGCCCACAGTGGCCGAGATGATATGATAGGATGCCCTCAGAGGCGTGATGATGTTATAGCGTTATATACGCGTATATATATATATATATATATATATATATATATATATATATATATATATATATATATATATATGTGTGTGTGTGTATATGTATATGTATATGTGATATGGGAAAGGTTATGGTGTTATATACGCACCACCACCTGATCAGCTGGTATACGATGATGATTTTGCCCACAATGGCTGAGATGATATGATGGGATGCATTATATGACATTCATACGCATATACATGATACTATAAGTATTTCATGATTTACAGAGTCATCTAGACTTACATGTTAAGTCACTTACTTTATATTTCTTCTATGTCTTTAATTAATGTTGACTTATTATTGTGTTTCAGTTCTGTCTTACATATTCAGTACATTACTCGTACTGACGTTCTTTTGTTGGGGACGCTGTATTTATGCCTGCTGGTATAGACAATCAGTTTGACGATCCCTCACAGTAGACGAGGTTTGTATTCAGCGAATGATCGGTAAGACTCCACCTCATTCGGAGTGCTGTCGAGTCTATGAGTCATCGTGTTAGAGTTTTTTTTTTACAGACATATGGGTAGGCCAGCACCCTATCCCATTTGATCTCGAATAATCCTAGAGGCTTTGCACACAGAGGTTCAGTTTGTATAGTATGTCAGAGGCCTTAACGGCTCATATGTATTCATATTTTTAAGAAAAATAATTCAATAACACAGTGTTTTCTCACTTATAGTTATACATTATGAGTTGTGGTCATGTTGGCCCATGATAGTTACAAAGAAAATAAAAAGAGTTGAAGAGTGGTTCGCTCGGGCTAGTGCGGCATTGAGTGTCAGCCACGCCTCCCCAAGTTTGGGGCATGGCAATGCAAAGAAGGTTTGTCCAGTGTTTTAAAAACAGAATCAAAACGGGAGTCTTCCATAATTTCATATTTTCTTCCATAGAAATCGACCTTGGGTGATTTTTTGGAAAGGGATTTAAACACCAAATCATAGGTTCGTGTTCTTAAACTCATATCTTTAATTTTACAACAACACATATTAGATTTCTAGGCCTAAATCTTGTTCTTTCATGGTAGAATTAGGGATTTTGGGAAGAATTGGGGATTTTATAAAATTGGGAATTTAAACCTCGATTTGGGGTCGAATTCCGAAACTAATTACACATTTGGGATCGTGGGTGAAGGGGTGAATGGGTTTTGGTTCGAACCTCGAGTTTTGACCAAGCGGGCCCAGGGTCGATTTTTGACCTTTTGGGGAAAATGATAGATAACCTATAATTAAGTATTGGAGTTGAATTCTTTAGCATTTATTGATGTTGTTAAGTTAATTATGGCTAGATACAAGCGTATTGGAGGTGGAATTTAGAGGGAAAGTGGTATTTGAGGCATGATTTTGGTCGTGGAATCGAGGTAAGTATTTGGTCTAATCTTGGCTTGAGGGAATAGGAGTTGTTGTCTTATTTGCTACGTGTTAGTGTTGAGAACGACTTATAGGTGTGGTGACGAGTATCTATACGTTGGTGTCGAGCATGCAAGTGAGTCTTAAACTGTGACCGTTGTGATTCTTATTATGTACTATTCATGCTTAAATTGATGATTATTCATGTTGAACAAGACTTATGATATTTTTTTGGTAATTGACCATTGTTGAGCATTGATTCAAGTTGAGATTTATTTTGTGAAATTAACTGTTGAAATGAGATTGGTTATAGTTGATTCCCTTGCCGAGATGTTATTGTTTCTACTGTTTGGGTGAGGAAAGAGTGGTAAAGCACGAAGAGTGATGTCATGCACATTCATACTTATGCATATGGTGAGGAAAGAGTGATAAAGCACGAAGGGTGATGCAATGTATATTTACATTCATACTTATGAATATGGTGATGAAAGAGTGATAAAGCACGAAGGGTGATGCTGTGCACATTTACATTTATATTGATGCATATGGTGAGGAAGAGAGATAAAGCACGAAGGGTGATGCCGTGCACATTTCTATTATTCATTAGTGAGGAAGAGTGATAAAGCACAAAGGGTGATGCCGTGCACATTTCTATTATTGATTGCATGGTGAGGATTGAGAGTAAAAGCACGAAGGGTGATGTCATGCACTTTCTGTTTGTTGTCTTCATTTGTCATTATCGGTTCAAGTATTTTAACTATTTAAGTTCCTTACTGCTGTAATTCTTTATGTTGAAACCTCGATAGTATGTTTCCCATTCCCCTACATTTCTGCTTAGTTATTATTACTTGTTAATCTGTTATTATATTGATTAACTGTATAGGTTTATGATATTTGTCGTGTCCTAGCCTCGTCACTACTTTGCCGAGGTTAGGCTCGACACTTACCAATACATGGGGTCGGTTGTACTGATACTGTCCTCTGCACCTTCTGTGCAGATCTCGGTGTTGGACCATGTGAGTAGAGTTGGGTGGCTGCCTTCAGTCCAGTGGAGATCTAAGGTAGTCCTGCAGGCGTCCGCAGGCCTTGGCGTCCCTTTCTATCCTGTTTCTTTTCTGTTTTATCTATTTTAGAGACAGATGTGTATTTCTTTATTCAGACTATTGTTTATAGTATTCATAGACTGTCTGTGAGTAGTGAAACCAGTTCTGAGTTGAGTTTTATTACTGTTTCGTTATTTGTATTAAGATAATATGTTAAATTCGGTTCTTCCGCATTTATTCCACTGATATATTTTTGTTAACTTGTAAGCTGTTAAAATATAAAGGAAAAAGGTAAAATAATAGTAACGTTGGCTTGCCTAGCGGCTACAATGTTAGGCGTCATCACGGTCCCGACGGTGGTAAATTCGGGTCGTGGCATTGGGAATAGACAAGACTATCTCTACAATTCCCCCAAGAGACCACTCTCAAAGCTTTATCCACCATTATTCCAAATACTAATGGTCATAAAGATACGCCCTATTGGTCGCTAAATAGTAATGATATGTTCACCATCAAATCTGTATACTCTCTTATACATACCTCGCCTCCAATTTCCTATTACTTTAAATAGATTTGGCACTCCACACACTCGAAAAAATTAAATTCTTTCTCTGGTTATGTTCTCATAATATATTTTCAACCAAAGCATGCCTCCAACACATAGGCATAAATATAGAACATACTTGCTCAAGAAAATATCATCACATTTTCTTCGCGGGCCCAGTGGCAAAGAAATTTTGGTTGGACATGGATTTAAATATTCAGGCCCTTCATTATCAACATCTACACTGGCTCTAACTACTAAAAGAAATGAATGTTCCTCTCTAGAATGAGCACCTACAATGGCTTAACTTCTTTCCCTTTTGCACTATGGCACATTTGGTTAAATCACAACTGCAACTCCTTTGAAAATACACGAGAAACTCTCCCCATTAATATCCCTATTATGAGGGCATTAGAATATAAATATACTACTACCCCTACAAAAGAACCAGAGAACAAAAAATCATTCATGTGAATTAGGTACGACCCGCAATTGGTTACTACAAGCTAAACACGGATGGTGCATTAATGCTAATAACAATGGTGGTGGAATCGGTGGCGTGATTCGAAGTTCAAATGGAGATCCGGTAGTAGGTAGGCTACTGGAAAAATCCTTTGCTATAAATCACACACACATAGAATTGATGGCATTACAACAAGGACTGCAGCTGGCAGCAGACCACCACCACAGACCCATTAAAATCGAAACAGACTCCATTGAGGTCCTACAACTGCTAGAGAAACACAATCCAATTTACCAAACATTAATTACTTCTTTAGGTGCCTGTTGAGGAGGTTGGGCAATCTAGTGGTCCGGCAAACCTTTCGTCACGCGAACAAAGAAACCCACCTTTAATTAGCTATCAGTATTGATGCATCCACCTACACCTATATGGACCAGTTTGCAAATAGACAAGGAGGTGGTCACTACCAAAAAAATAGTAATATTATCTATGTATAATAACTTGGCACGTTGTATGTAATTTTGTGGTGTATTTCTTGTGTGGGGAGCTACGTACGTACAAGGTGACGAGAGTCCGTGTGTAGCTATATTCCATGATATGTCCAGGTAGACTTAGATCCACACCATGCTTTAATTATACTGTTGTGATTACCTTGCGTATTGACTGTCTTGAATAGAGCTAAGACTAGGGATGTAAAGTTGCAAATATCAATATAGCCTTTTTCTTTGGAAACTTGAGGAACATTTAATAACTATGAAAAAAATCCATGCCCTCTCAAGTCGCAAGTACTTCCACGAGCGAGGTAAACTTCTTTATTCTTATGGGATCGGGTCTTTCACCTCGGCATTACCACTATTCTTATGGAATCGGGTCGTTCGCCTCGGTAGTACCACTACTCTTATGGGATCGGGTTGTTCGCCTCGGCAGTACTGAGTACCACCATTCTTATGGGATAGGATGTTCACCTCAGCATCTTTGTGCTTAATATTCAAAACAGGTTCCAGATTGAATAACTAGATTAGGACATTCACGGTCAGTTATGAGACACCGGTGATGTGTTACGGGATCTTGCTGTACTTATTGAAATTTCTTTTATTTGACCCTTTGATGCTTGTTGTTTGCTCATCATGTTTACTTTATGCATTTTTATTATTATTATTGTCCTTTAGTAAGTGTTAAGTCGACCTCTCGTCACTGCTACTTCGAGGTTAGACTAGATACTTATTGGGTACGTGTTGTTCTTCGTGCTCATACTACACTTCTGCACTGATGTGCAGGTACTGAGACAGGTTCCACCAATGGTAACACATGCGCGTAGCCGATCTTTGTGGAAAATTAGGGGTGAGCTGCTTCCCACGCTATGATCCGCAGCACCGGAGTCTCCTTTCATTTTTATTTACTATTTTTGTCCATTACTTTCAGACAGTAGCCTTAGTAGTTTTGTATATTCCCTAGAATTGCTCATGTACTTGTGGCGTCTGGTTTTGGAGATTTGTAGCACTTTTGTACTGTTGTACTTGTCACTTTTATCACAGTAGACTATATATTTATATATTGAAACTTGTTTAAGAAGACTTATCTTTATTGCATGAAATTTGGTGGAACTAAAATATGTTAGAAAGGGGATAAATAAATGGTAGATTCGCTTGTGTGCTTGCCTAGCGGTAGCGTTAGGTGCAGTCTCGACCTAGTACAAAATTGGGTCGTGACAGCTTGGTATTAGAGCTTTAGGTTTACATAGGTCTCACATGTCATGAACAGGCTTAATAGAGTCTTGTAGATCGATGTGGAGACGTCTGTACTTATCTTCGAGAGGCTATAGGGTGTTAGGAAACTTTTCTTTCTTAATCTCCTATCGTGCAGTTGATGTTATACTAAGTGTATTTCTATTGATCTCTCACAGATGGTGAGGACATGCGCGGTGGATGTACCGGGTAGACGAGGGGCTTCCCCCCCCCCCCATTTCTAGAGGCTGAGATAGAGGACGAGGGAGGGATCCAGCTCCAGTCAGAGGACGAGGGTTCCCTAGGGTTTCTCTTATTGCACCAGCAGTGGATCCAGTAGAGGATCCTATTGTTGAGGAACAGGATGAGGCGTCTGTAGCTGTGCCTGCTCCAGTAGATTTTATGACTGCGCTGGAATTCTAGGAGGTTATGGGCCGTATGTTGCGGTTCATGGATTCTATGACGCATGCTGGTTTATTTCCAGCGGACACTGCCACATCTCAAGTGGGAGGGGGATCACAGACCGCTCAAGCTGAAGGCCATGCTGCTATCGTTTATAAGACCCCAAGCATACTACCTCCGGGCGGGCCCCAGCCTATTACAGTGGCTATGCCAGTGGTGGTACCAGTCGCGACCGATGATCAGCAGAAGTGTCTAGACAAATGGACTAGGCTTCACCCCCTACCTTTGGATGGAGCGGTCAGAGGACCCCTAGGATTTCATTGATCAGTGCAGGGAAAGGCTCCGGAACATGGGGATATTGGAGTCCAACAGGGTGGACTTCACAACTTTTCAGTTTGAGGGCAAGGCCCATAGATGGTGGCATGCTTATCTTAGCAGGCCAGCAAGTTTACCTCCCTTGACTTGGGATAAGCTTATATATATGTTCTTGGAGAAGTATATAACACCTTTTGAGAGAGAGGAGCTTTGTGTCAGTTTGAGCGACTCCGCTAGGGTCACATGTGCCTCGCTGATTATGAGGCAAGATTAACTAACTTATCTCGCCAAGCAGCTATTATACTCCTCACAGATGCAGAGAGGGTGTGGAGGTTCATTGCAGGTCTACACTCTAAGATTTGGGTACAGACGGCTCATGAGGCATAGCTAGGGACTTCTTTTCTTCAGGTTGTGGATATACCTCGGAGGATCAAGCGTATTCACAACTGCAATGGAGAGTTTGCACCAAGGGATAAGCGGCCCCGACAGTTTGGAGGATTCAATGGTGCCCCACCTTGGGGAAAAGGTCAATTCATAAGGGGTCAGCCCAGCAGGATCATAGAGCCAGCACCAACACCATCTCGGGGTGCTCTAGCACGACCTTATTTCAATGTCATTCTAGAGAGTACTTATCTCCCGCCAGCTATTCAGGGTTCCTCCAGTAGGTATTCAGGCAATCAGGGTTAGATTTTAGGGCAATAATCCACCACTCCAACGGGTTGTTCCGAGTGTGTGGATCTTGGCCACGTGAAGAGGTTTTGTCCGATACTTTGCGGCAAGGCTGAGCAGCAGGACTACCGGCCCATGATTATTGCTCCAGCTGCGGCACCAGTCGTTTATCCGCCTAGAGGTGGAGGGCAGGTGGGTAGGGGTCGTCCTAAAAGTGGAGGCCAGTCAAGCGGCACCCCATCCAGGTTTTATGGCTTTCCATCTAGACTAGATGTTCGTAAATAAGAAGGATGGGACTCTGTGGATATGCATTAACTACCGTCAGTTGAACAAAGTTACCATTAATAACAAGTACTCGTTGTTGCATATTGATGATTTATTTGACCAGTTACAAGGCGTCAGGGTGTTCGCTAAGATCGACTTGAGATCTGGGTATCATCAGCTGACGATTCATGCTTCGGATGTTTCGAAGACGGCCTTCCGGACTAGATATGGTCACTATGAGTTTTTGGTGATATCCCTCGGCTTGACTAATGGCTCGATGCATTATGGATTTGATGAACCAAGTGTTCAGGCCGTATCTTAATTCATTTGTCATCGTTTTCATTGGTGACATACTGATCTACTCGCATAATATAGAGGAGCACGAGTAGCATTTGAGAGTTGTGCTCCAAACCTTACAGGAACAGAAGTTATACGTTAAGTTCTCGAAGTGCGAGTTCTAGTTAGATTATGTGGCATTCTTAGGGTATGTTTTATCAGGCGAGGGTATTAAAGTAGATCCCAGGAAGATGGAGGTAGTCCAGAGTTGGCCTTGTCCTACCACAGCGACCGAGATCAGGAGTTTCCTGGGGTTAGTAGGCTATTATCGTCGGTTTGTGTAGGGCTTCTTATCTATTAGAGCACCTTTGACTAAACTGAACCAGAAGGGTGCTCCGTTTTGATGGTCCGACGATTGTGAGGTGAGCTTCCAGAAGCTTAAGACCGCATTGACTAAAGCACTGGTGTTAGTGTTGTCTCCGGTTCGGGGATGTATACTATGTATTGCGATGCTTCATGCATT